TGAAGGCTTCTGCTCTTAGGTTGGAGGCCATTGCTATTAGGTTGGAGGCCATCGCTACTAGGTTGGAGGCTACCGCTCTTAGGTTGGAGGCCATCGCTCTTAGGTTGGAGGCCATCGCTAGTAGGTTGGAGGCCATCGCTAGTAGGCGGAGCGGGTAAGAATAGAAATCCAGAATCATGTGGTTGGTTCGCGGAATGGACTGGACCAGTCTCAGACGATGCGTCTCTTTTTCAATGATTTAGCCTCTCAGAAACAGCTGCCAGGATCGGAGATGTGCCAAGCAGTGAGTACAGCCCGGTGATCATTCAGTGGCTGGAGTGCGTGAGGGCCTTTGTGTGTGTGTGTGGTTTGATTTTAAGTCAAGTGCTAGTTACTCGGCTTTTTTGAAGTATGTTTGTGTGGATTCTCTATGCGTGTGTGGGCTAAGTGTTTGGAACATCTTTTTCACCTTCAAACCCATGTTCAAACACTTTCAGAAACGAACACTTGGCTTTCTTTGAGGTCTTTCAGCTTCTGCACCAATTCCCAAGCGCCTTTGAGTTCTCGGCCGATGTGCTGCTGCGCCTAGCAGAGGAGGCGAGTCGGGCCCACGGAAAAGGGAGGGGGGCCGCAAGACACATGTATGGTGAAGGGGAAGATAGAATCAGAATCCTGTTTAAAAGAGAATAATACAGAAAAAAATGAACAAGGGCCATGGCTACTAGGGTGAAGGCCATCGCTCTTAAGTACCTGCTTAAAAGATACTGAATAAAAGAGAAAGAGAAAGAATAAAGTCAATGAGAAGACATGATCTGAAAATCGATGAAACTCTTGTCATCCCAAGGTCTTCACCAACCGCTTTGGCACTTTCTTTTGCGACAATGAGCCGGGAGTCCCGTTTGTCGCGTCCTTGCTCCTGGTAGCGATGCCAGGAGCCCCTAGTAGCTTCTTGTTCCAAATAGCAATGGCTTCCAACCTAGTAGTGATGGCCTCCAATAGTAGCCATCATTGTCCGTTGGCTGGGACACATCCAACATCATCCAACTAGGAGCACGGACGCTACTAGGAACAAAGAGCATCCATTCTCATTCATCCAACTTTGTTTAAGACATCAGAGATTGGCAAAGAGCCGCTAATTGGACATGCAGGCATGAGCCCCAAATCTACAGGGGAGCAAGCCGAGTAGATCCAATGCACTCTGAAACAGCAATTACTTTGCCAATCCTACATGGACAACAATGGGCGACTGCATTTCAGATGCACTATTTAAGGCAAGAAAGAAAATCTATGGAAGCGCACACTTTGTCTTTGTGGTCAACTTTGCTTGGCGAGGCATGGAGAACCTCAAAATAGAAGAGACAGATAGAGATAAAGATAGAGAGATACAGTTAAACAGACAGAGCTGCCAAATTGCTTCCATGAACAATATGATGTGCTCTTTTGGCTGGTTCTTTGCAACACGATGTCGTTTCCAGATTGGTTCAACTCTTGGATTTTGGAAGGACTTTGAAAGTTGGCGCAATCCTGGCTACAAGGTGCCAACTTCTGCGCACAGAAGTCATGCCAACATGTCGAGACTGCGCACAGAAGGAAGACCTTTCTCCTGTTTGAGGCGGAACGAGGTTGGAGGCCATTGCTTTTGGAAACAAATAAAAAACAATAAAGAAAGGTCTAATATAGTTTGCTATTAGGTTGGAGGCCATCGCTTCTAGGTTGGAGGCCATCGCTACTAGGGTGGAGGCCATCGCTTCTATGTTGGAGTCCTGTTTGAGGCGGAACGAGTGAAGCTCTACCCAAGCATTTGCCAAGCCAATTACAGCATTTGGGAGGCACTCAATGGATCAGATCGATCAACGGATCAGAATCAGTGACGCAGTCCCTTCATCGTTAGATATTCATTGCGCCTTTTCCTTTGGGGACTCAGACCTTCACTGAGAAGGGCTCCATCCAGTGGAAAGCAACTAGAGACAGCACAAAAGAATTGAACACAATATCCCTAGCGTCCTTGCTCCTAGTAGCGATGCCCGTTGTTACTAGTAGCAAGAATGCTCCTAGTAGTACGGCCAGGAGCCCCTAGTAGCTTCTTGTTACTACTAGTAATATCTTTGTACCTTCTTTTCACAATGTCTTCATCCCTGCCCCAGTCACCTTTGGTCCCATGCCCTTTGCCCCACCAGGCCTACTGGTTCCGCTTCACCGCCCGCGGCGACGTGCCGGAGCCCAGTTCGCCCACGTCGCCCAGCACAGCCGCGGAAGAAGCTCCTCCGGCCGCGCCACCACCGGAGCCAGAAGAGATTGAGCGCCGCACGGCAGAAATGATCAAACGTGAGTGAAGCCAAGTAGACAGTTCATAGAAGTGATGGCCTCCAACCTACTAGGACCTACTAGCAAACTATATGAAACCATTCTTCCGTCTTATGCTTTCTGTGAGCTTTATCTGATCCTTTCTTTGTGGATCAGCCATGTGGCTCTTTGAGGTGAACCCAGCCTCTTCAGCCCTGCAGAACTAGCAGTTGCACCGACCAAGCCAGAGCCCACGCAGATTTTTGCTGAAGATGACGATGAGGAGGGAGAGCTTCACCGGGTTAACATGCTCCTTTGGAAGTTGGGGGAATTTTCTCAAAATGGGGGTTCCCCCAATCACCAGGTTGGAAAATTGATATGTCTAGAACCTCTTTCCATTTCATCGGTTTTGAACAGAGAACTTGCCTGACATCGCAGGACATCTTTGCGAAGCACAGCAAGCCAGGCACACAGGGCATTCGAACTCACTTTGTGGGCACACAACCAGTTATGTAAGGCTTGAACAGAGATATTGCAAGGCCGACATGTTGGAAGAGGCAACCCCTACCTGCTCTTGTTAAACAAATTTGTTTTCGTCAATAGAGGTTTCACTGCACCCTCATTTGTCAACGATTCGAGAAATGAGATCAGGGCAGAATATACAGCCAAAGTCTGTTTGCTCATTCTGTAGGTGACAGCTTTCAATGTACCAAGACTGTGGGCACCACCTTTGCCTATGCCCCGCTGAAGCGCAGGTGCCAAAGAGGCAAAGGTGCCCGCACTGTCTGAGGCTAGGGATGCAGGATCCATCCATCAGGATTCATTTGGAAAGAGTAGACCGGAAGGGCTCGCACGCCAAGGGCCGATGACGTTTTGTTGTAACGGTTCTTGTTGGGCCCGAACCCGAAGCTGAATTGTGCAAACTCAGCTGACAAAGAAGTTGGTGAATTTGAAGTGCTCATGAATGTTCATCGCGTGCTTTCGCTTTTGGGGCTAGCTGTTTCAGATTCGGAGTTCATTAGCGCACCAGGTGGAAGCCAAGGTGGAAACTGCAGAGTTGTAGTCAAGGCCTTGGCAAGAGAGACTCTGAAAGCACAGCTCTTGACGTACAAAGTTTCAGAAGCAAGAACGCAAATCTGTGGTTTTCTCTTTTGTTAGATTGGAGGCGCTCGCTATTGGGTTGGAGGGATTGCTAGTAGGTTGGAGGCCATCGCTACTAGGTTGTTTCAGGCCTTTTGTTTCTTCCTTGCTTTCCTTCCTGTAGAATTTCTGTCGGCAGGCTTGACAAGCTGAAGGTCTGATGGCGAGAAGCTGACTGTGCCAATGTTTCTGATGTTTCCTGGAGCCCACAAGGGCGCCGCGATGTCTGGATTGACGAAAATGCCCGAGAAGCTGCAGTTGTGTTCCTTCTTCTTTATTGGCGGCTAAATGACACAATATAGCTACTAGTAGCTTCTTGGTACTAGTAGTAGTGCCCTTGCTACTAGTAGCGATGCCCTTGTTACTAGTAGTTTTATCGTCTCTTGTTTTGTCGTTTCCTTTTTAGGACACTGTCAGCCGGTCATCTGCCAGCCATGGGGCTTTCAAGAGCTTTGTAGCTCGCTCGAGTGTGTCTAGCCATGTGCAGCCTGAGGTGTGCCCTTTTAGGGCTGATGCTCGCCGCTGAAGCCACGGCTACATGGGACAACACCATCTTCACTTCAACCTACCAGCAGATGTTGATCCAGAAGATCTCAGTGGAGTCGCTTTTACTCATTGACATGGATTCTGATACCAACCGAGAACAGCTTCAAAAGAGCATGTCTCAGTTCAATTCCACACTTTGGCACTTGCTCGAGGGAACGAATGGAGTTTTGCCACCTCCAACTCCAGCAGCCAGGGGAAAAGTGCAGCAAGGGATTGATCTATGGCAACCCTTTCGTGCGGTTCTTGACGATATCTTGCTGATACAGAACAAGAGCAGTCTAGTTCCCTCTTTGGTTGCCACGAGCCATCCACTTTCAGAGAAGTTTGCTGAGCTCTCTCAATACTTGGTGAATGCAGCCATAGCAACTGGTGCTGGGAGCGGCGGTCGCTTAATCAGTCTTGTGGAGCGTCAAGTGGTCCTCGCGTACCAAATGTGGAAAGAAGGCTTACTGCTCGGTGCCTCGGCTTGCTGGGGTCGATTGGATTTCGTGTTCCAACCTTCTTTCACTTGTCATGTCTCTTTTCCTTTCTTTTCATCTCTTTTCTTTTGTTCTTTGATTTCTTCTTTAGAGCTTTAGAGCTTTGTTATTTACTTCTTTTCTTTTCCGTCTCGTTTTCATTCTATTTGATTGCTTTCTTTGCCTAAGCCGTGTGCTTAGGCTATGACCAGGTCACAGTCGCAGAGCTATTGGACACCAAGAGCTTCTTCATGTCAGCCCATCGAGGCCACCTTTGGCCACAACAACAAGACAAGAACTCGAGAAATGTCTAAAGGACCTTTTTCTACCCCGCTCCCCCCGTCCTACTTAATCAAGTAGCCGCTTACTTAATCAAGTAAGAGAGAGGTAGCTACTAGTAACTTGTTTTCATTTGGTTCCTAGATTTTGAGGGAAACTTAGCTATAGTGAAGGCCTCCACCCTAATAGCGATGGCCTCCACCCTAGTAGCGATGTTTTAAAATCTAGTAGCGATGGCCTCCGACCTAATAGAGAAATGTCAAAAGGTCTACAGGAAAGAAAGAACTAAAGAAAGGTCTATATCGTTGCAAATGCTCCTCTCAGGGCTTGTTGATGGTGCCACCTGGCTTGATGTGCCCAAGCTCACGCGCTTGTGCGCCTTGCATGCCATGAGGGAAGTGACTCACTACTCCGATGCGCTGAACAACCTTTTTTCCGAGATTGTCACTGTTGAGGAGGAAGCTCAGGAGAAAGCTGTAGCGTTGGCTGGGAATATCAGTGCCAATGGCTTCTCGGCATCACAGGATGGCATAAGGCACCGACTCAGTGGCTAAACTAAACCTAAAGTGAACTTCAGATTTTTTCACTGAGGTCGTTCATTAGCCAAGTCCATGAGCAATGCAGTGGACTACTTTCTGGGCTACACAGCTTGCAATATCACTCTCACAGATCTTCAGTGGTTTAATGCGCTCACCGCTGCGGAGGTGGGCCAAGACCGTTTGCATGTCCCTAGTCCCTAGACCCAGTGAGCGGCACATAATGTGTGAGCAGAGCCAAGCCGGAATGTCTTGGAATGCAGCAACATGAAGACATGAAGAACACAAAATTCAGTTCTGGAGGCCATCGCTTTGACGTTGGAGGCCATCACTACTAGGTTGGAGGCCATTCGCTACTGGGTTGGAGGCCATTCGCTACTGGGTTGGAGGCCAACGCTCTTAGGTTGGAGGCCGTCACTGCTAGGCAATCTTGGAAAAACCGCTGCTGGAGATATACAACTCCATACGGTTGCCATTGGTTGAACACAGCTCTTGGCCTCCAACCTAGTCGCAGTGGCCTCCAACCTAAGAGCGATGGCCTCCAACCTAGTAGCGATGGCCTCCAGCCTAAGAGCGAATGGCCTCCAACCTAGTAGCGATGGCCTCCAACCTAATAGCGATGGCTTCCAACCTAGTAGTGATGGCCTCCAACCTAGTAGTGCCTCGCTTTTCATGTATTGTTCTTACTGTTGCGTTCTTCTTAAGAATGTTTCTTTGAAAATCACAAAGCCAGGGGTTGTGGTGACCAGAAGCGCCTACCTTTCGGGTCCGTCGTTTTTCCAGGACCAATTGCTACAAGCGTCAGAAGCAACAAAGCTTTTCCTGCAGTGTCTTGGAAGAAGCGGGGAGGGTGTAGGACTGACTAAGGAAGGTTCGGGGAGGAAGCCACAAAGCTTAAGTAGGGCCGTCGCTCGGAGGTGGAGGCCATCGCTAGTCGGTTGGAGGCCAGTGCTATTAGCTTAAGTAGCTGCTATTAGCTTAAGTAGCTGCTTAGGGAAACGTCAAGTGTCAAGTTGAAAAGGTCTTAAAGATGTATCGGAAGATGTATGATGAGATACCAACACACTCCCTCAAAGTGTTCGATTTGCCTTCAGCCGATTTCAGCAAGCAAATGGCACTGGACAGCTGCCTGCAGGCTATTATACCGGCTAGCCAGCCCAAAACGGTGCCGATTTCCAAAATTAAAGCATGTAGGTTTTGGAATAGAATTGAAATGAAAATGATGAAACATAAAAATTTCAGAAAGGAAGAGTCTCCGAGGGAGAGCACAGAATTTGAGAAAGGAAAAGACAGGGATCTTCAGCACTTGCAGAGAGAAGGTGAGGAAACATGGACAGAAAGGGGGGGCCTTACATCATGAAACTTGGACCTTTGCACGACAAAGCTGAGCAACATGTGTAAAGTGAGAATGGAGCCATGTCTCAAGAGACGTTCTCTTTCTGTTCTTCTTGCTTTTCGTTGGACTCGCTTTTTCCGAACATGTTTGAGCCGTTGCTAAAAAGACGAAGAAAGCAGCGAAGTTGAGAGGCAAAACCTTTCCGAGATGTGAAGCAACGCTGGACCGGAAAGGTAGTCAACAATAAAGACAAACCGATTGAAAAATATGAACATAAAGAAAACGTGTTTGAAGACATGCTCAGATTGAAAAGTTAAACATGAGGATAGCCTTGAACTACCAGGAGGCTGAAGGCAACTTGGCTGCGAAGTATTAGATTCAGGTGTCTATGTGTGCAGGCCAGCGCTTGCAAATGTATGTTTGTGTTTGTTTGTTTGTGTTTGTTTGTTTGTGAGTGTGTCTACGTGCGTGTGTGTCGCTGGTAGGCCATCGCTAGTAAGTTGGACACCATTCCTATAGGTTGGAGGCCATTCCTATCAGGTTGGAAACCATTGCTAATAAATATTACAAAACTAGACGACGGATGCCCGGGAGTGTGGAAGGAAAGATTATGTAGAAGTAAGAGATGTTTATAAAGAACACATCTGAGAGGTCTTTTGGCTGCATTTGCATGTAATGCTACAAGATGCTGCAAGTATACATGCAGACGCACGTTTCTAGAGTTGTTGCTATGGATGTAGTAAGATGAGACTCCTGGACACCGCCAACACCAGCATGCTTTCCTTCCCCCAAAGGCACGGACTCACGCAAACGCACTTTCCACCGTGGCCGCGCAAAACGGCGCCCACTCTCCCACCCTCCTCGTGGGCGCGGGCATCGCCCTTTTCTTGGTGACGCACGAAGCGGTGGGACCGGTCTGGACCTCGATGCGCAAGCCGTTTCGTCCAAAGCGTGGCAGACCTCGCAAAAAGAAGCCACCGAAGCCTTTTCTTACCTGTCAATTTTGCATGTTGATTCGGAAGGAGAGGGCGTTCTTTTCGAATGAGCAAAGCACAGGAATTTGCGTGAAAGATGGATGGACTCAACCATTTTGCATCAGGAGTTCAATCTTCGCGCGGCACGTACGACACAAAGGACGTCTCAAAAGAAGTCAAAGAGCTGAACGCAAGATGCTAGCTAGCATGCCAGGTCGTCAAAGAGGCTAACGCAAGAGCTGAAGGAAAAGTTTCAAGCATATAGGACCATGCCACGCGTGCGCGGGTTCAGACAATGCCAAGCCCTATGGTATGAGAGGCGGCGCAGCCACAACTCAGCGGAAGCAAAATGAGAAGCTGTTGATAGGCATTTAACTTTAGATAGAGACGCACAGGATGCCGAGCCCACCAGCCTGGAACAGGATCTTTCATGCACTCATTGCCCACAAGCCGGACAATCTTTCGTCTTGCCTGCCGACTGACGCAACCGCCCCGACGATTGGTGGAACACGATTTCGACACTAGACCAAGAAGCCAAAGGCAACAAGAGACCGAAGAGCTGGGCTGAAGTTGCCAAGACCGTGCCAGAGCAAATTCGGTCAACTTGCTCCTAAACTTTGGTTGCGCGCTGTGTTGCCAAATCCCATTTCCTAGTGCTTCTCCTTGGCATCTGCCCTTGTTGGAGGGGGAGCTGCGGTTCGGGGAGAGGTGGTATCAGTCAAGCATTACCTTGTCTATGTTTCGACAAAGGAACGTTGCGCGCCGTGCGATTTGTCGATCTTGCCTCCAAAGATCGGTCCTTGCTTTGAATCTGGAGATGATCTTCTTTGGTGCCAAACATTCGTTTGTAAAGCCAGGCAGTGTGTGTTGACGCCAGAGGCGTCGTTCTAGGATCTGAGCATTGACGAAGTTCGCGTGTGACAGGACTCATTGCAATTTTTCTTCACTCCAGTCCCTCCAGTCCCTCTCTCCACTGACGAGTCTCTTTGCTCGGATTTTTGATTTCGTCTTCAGTCAACAGGCGTCGGGCTCCCAAATACTTTGGGCCTTTGGGCCTCGAATGACTCCGTATAGGGTCCACAAAAGCCGGGCGGCGTTGGCGTACTCAAACCATGCCTCGTCGGGATGGTACGCTTGCCATTCAACGCCTGTCTTGCCAAGCCCTGGACGCGAGTCTTTTTGTCGCAGGTCCATTGGTCAATTCCCAAGCCCAAGTGTCCTGAATCTTGCGCCATGGATGGCGCCGGCCACGAAATTTGCACTTCAAGGTTCCACAAAGTATTGCGCCTGCCATTCAAGGCCACGAAGCACTGCGCCTGCAACGAAATCTGCACTTCAAGGTCCACAAAGTACTGCGCCTGCCTCGAAACTTGCACTTCAACCTACAAAATACTGCGCCTGCCATGAAATGTGCACTTCAAGGTGCACCTGCCACGAAATCACGCACCTCCCACCTTTAGACTACCAAAACACGAGGTTTCCCTTGCGCCTGCCACGAGAAATGATCACCAGTTCCAAAAAGCGCACGGAACCACAACGAGAGCGGGCGCGCAGAGAAATCTCAGGACGGAGCTTTTCTGCAAGCCTGCGCAGCCAAAACGCGCGCGCTCAGAGAGCGTACCCTGATCGAACCCGGGCTCTGACACCTATACCTTAAGAACTCTGCGCAACAGACCAGATACAACAATGTAAATTAATCACGGCGGGCGGTGTCAAGTCTTCGGTTCTCAAGCCATGCTGCTTCCCGCACTACAATTGCACTACCAAGTGACCAGTTCTCAAGTTGCAGGTTTCAGGAGCTTCTCCCCGCGCCGCATTTGGCACTACTAAGTTCCAATTTCGACGACAGTCAACACACTTTGGCAACCTCCAACTTCGTTTTCGGCGACAGTTTATACGCTTTGCCAACCTCCACCTCCGTTTTTTGACGACAGTTAGACACATGGCAAACCTCAACAACCTTTGTTTTCGGCGACAGTTACATCTCTGGCAACCTCCACCTTTGTCTTTGGCCAACCTCCACTTCTGTTTTCGACGACAGTTACGCACTTTAGCAACTTCCAGCTTCCGGCGCCATTTGCGATGACAGTTACACACCTATGGCAACTGCCACCGTCAATTTCGACGACTGTTGCACACTTGGGCAACCAAATTCGAATTTCGCCACACTTTTGAGCACGATCTCCTCAGAGTGCTCACCGCGCTCACGCAATATTTGCACTTCGCCACGCGTTTGAGCGCTTGACACGGACGAATGGGATTTCCAGCGCAGCGAATTCGATCTCCGCACAGGGTTCCTCCAACGCAGCCGGAATTCGCATGGACGCGCGCGATCTCCGCAGAGGGTCACGTTTCGCAAGCCCTGTCCGGCCAGGCCCCCGGCTAAGAAAGAAGACTCAAATAGCCGAGATACATCACGCACGCGCGAACAAACACATGCTCTGCTTTATGTTCTAACTCATGCTTACTTTTGCATATATGTGTTTACTGAAGCAAGACCCTAGCAAAGATACGTTTTTGCATATGATTTTTCTCTAGCAAGACCCCAGCGAATTCACTTAAGCAATATACGCGAATGTTATCCAAGCAAAATCCCAGCACCAAAGCAATCCACCCAAGCAAGATCCCAGCGCCAAAGCATTTCACCAAAGCAAGATCACAACCATGCCTGCAAGCTGCAGATGTACTTGTAGCATACCTATTCTAGCATACATACAACTGCAGTTTTATAAGTTGCAAGTGCGTTTACCTCCGTAGCAGCAGGTCTAGAAAACCACGTGTACAAGCTGCAAATGTAGTTTTTAGCTTTTACACTTACATAACAGAAAGAAATGCATAGATAGCTCCCAAATGTATTGGTGCAGATGTGTAAACCCTTCGCAACGCTCCCGGAAATAAAGCATTCCTTTTTAGCTTGGAGGCCATTGCTATTAGGGTGGAGGTCGAGCGTGTCAGGTAAAGTCGAGCTGACGGTACTGTCCGAAGAAGCAACCGTGAGTTTGACCAACTTGGTCGAGGGCAACAAGGCAAGTCAGAGAGAAAACGGATGCTTGCTTTTGCAACTGAAATGGCCTCCAACCTAGGATCTTTAGACCTTGCTTTGTTCCTTCCATTCATTGTTTCAATCTTGTGTCCTTCCTTTTATATGTTACTTTCCTTCTTTTCCCTTTCGTGCGTCAGAAAAGGCCACAGACCTACCAGCACCTCCAACTCAAGAGCTGGTGGACATGATTGCGCCGACCACGGAGATATGGCAGGACATGAAGGATGAGTTCACCAAGGTGACTTGCCAAATATAATCCCCTCATGAAGTTCCCATGTCATCCCTGTTAACCTCCTCATCCTAACATGATGTGCACAACTCCATGTGATGATTCGGTGCTTTGCTTGCTTCACAGGGAAAAGTGTTCGTACTCCCTTGAGCCTGTGTAGGCTATCTTCACTGACACCGTTCCAACATCTAGTGTCAGTGAAGTGGTGCGGCTATCCAAGAGCTTTCTTGGTGACATGGATGCTGTGGTCAGCACATATATGAGGACAGCCATATTGGCAGGCGTCCAATTTCCTGCATATGCGATTTATATTGCAAGTCAACAGAGATCACTTGTGCAGAAGTTGTCCAAAGAGGCCTGCATCGTCAGGCTCGGCTACAATGTTGACTACTATTTAGATGCCATGACTGCAAGCAGGAACCTCTTTGTAGAGTCACATTGGAAGTTGCTGGAGGGCAGTCCCAGCACTGATCTCTTTCCAGCCGTGGATGCCACCACAAATGCATGCATCATCTCTCAGATGTGGCGGATCTTTGGTATCTATGAGGACCTTGAAAGATCAGCGATGGGCGTCGCGAGTGGAGAATTGGACTCTTTGTCATCGCTGGGCAAGGCCAACATCGCCTTGGGTTCGCAGATGCAAAAGGTGGTGAATTGGGTGAAGGCTGGTGATGCTTCATGTGATCCGTTGTCGTTGTCTGTTGAGGACTGGCAAGGCTTGATTCTTGAAGTGGGCCGTTTGAGAAGCATGAGCCAAGAGGCTTCGATTGAAGTTCTTCTGTCCGATGCATCTATCACAAACAGCTCTCGGGAGAGTTTGAACGCGAAGAAGATCTTCGTGGCAACGTCCTTGAGGCGTTTGCGCTTCGGCTCACAAAGTCCACGAGTCCCACCACCCGCCCTTCAAGTCCTTCTCGACGATTTCTCACTGCACCTTCAGCCGGGTATCCGTTCACTTGAGCAAGCCCTTGGTGGTGATGATGTGCAACAGGTCATTGAGCTTGCAACTATTCGCGTGTGCTTTTCCTTTAGAACCATTTTGAACCAATGTACGGTGAATCTTTGAAGTTAAGTTTCCCAAAAATTCTAGGAACCAAAGCATTAGTGCGAACGCTATCCTGCGTACTTGTAGCTAGTAGCAATGGCCTCCTCCCTTACTTAGGTGGGGAGGGGGAGGGAGCGGGCTTGAAGAAAGAGCCTCACAGAACTGGCAAGTTTTAATGAATTCAGCGCCCCAGACTACCGCTGCTTATTAAACTAGAAGTTTCAAAGACATACTAGAAAGCTTTATTGTTACTAGTAGCGATGGCCTCCAACCTAGTAGTGGCCTCCAACCTAATAGCGATGGCCTCCACCTGAGCCTTACAGAACAGGGAAGTCTGTTGTTGCTTCCGAGGTTTTGCTTTGTTCGCATTGCACGGGTTCTTTTTCTAACCCAGGTCCTCCAGGCTGGCTCTTGGGTGATGGTGGAGGCAGATCAGTTTCTGCAAAGATTTTTCACCGAAGCTGATGCGCAAGCATCACCAGTCCCTCTCCAACGCATGAATGTGGCGGACAGGCAGATAGCTTTGGCGCGGCAGATCTTTAAGGAATTCTTGATGACCTTTGTAAGTCAGCAGAGTGACCCAAACATCACCAGCAGTGAGTCCTTATCACAGAGCATCAGCGCCTTTTCAACAGCGCACCAAAGCCTTCGCTATGGTGGCAATGGTATTCCAGAGCTAAGCCCTGTGAGGCTGGATGTGCAGAAACAGTGGGAAACCATTGGCCGAGCTTGGTCGACCTTTGAAGCTCAGCTCCATGAACCACCCAGCTGGGATGAGCTCGAAAAGATTCAAGTCGATTTGACTGCTTTGGTGGTGGAGCTCGAGGTCGCTGTGCCTCTTTTTGCAATCAAAGATGAGGAACTCAGAGGAGATCCTTGGCCAGCTGGAACCACGCAACCGCTACTAGGGGCTCCTGGCATCGCTACTAGGAGCAAGGACGCTACTAGGGGCTCCTGGCCACACTACTAGGAACAAGAAGCGATTAGAAACAATACACATTTGCAAGTTTGTTCTAGTTTGTTTCCAAAGTCCCCTACTTCTTAGATTGGGTGCGTGCTGAGGACTATTTGTTGCCAGCGCTTGTCTATAGTGGGATTGTGGTGTGCATGTGTGTGGGTGCTGGAGTTGACGCTTGCCCGCATGAGACATTTATTGTTTGTCAATCAAGTGTGTTTGCTGGGCGAGCACACCACCATCATCATCATCATCATCATCATCGCTCTTAGGTTGGAGGCCATCGCTGTCAGTAACTCAAAGAAGATCGTTTTTTGTTTCATCACAATCTAATGTTCATCATCCGATATCATCCATCACTGCAATGGACACCATCACCCTACTGAGCGTAGGTCCCATTCAGCATCTTTTTGAGGCCATCTACTTCGTCCGGCGACATCTGAGAGAACGGTCACAGCCCCAAGCAGACAGCAAGGTTTAGTGGTGTTTTGCAGCTCGCCAGGAGGCCAACTTCACTTCGTCTTTGTTCTAACTTTTTGTTGCTTCCAGCATCCTGCAAGCTTACTTGGTGGATGCTGGAATTTTCGACCACTTTCGTTTCGGTCCTTTTTGCGGCAGCGTTTTGGTTGCCTGTCTTGGGCCTGCTCAGGCAGGCCTCAAACTCAAGCTCCCACAAAAGTGGCAAGCTAAGACCCTGTGACCATCGACCAAAGATCAAAAGAGTTGGCACCCTTGGGTGGGCGCAATTTGTTGGAAGGGGTGATGTCCTTTTTTCTTTCATGCGTTCAGCCCCGTCCATGCTTGGCTGGGGACACCCCTCACTCGCGGCTGCATCGGAATCGATCTTGTCACAGCATGATTTGTTTCTTTGTCCGGCACTTCTTGTCTCCTTTTTGTTGGCTTGCTTGCGTTCTAGTAAAAGAATGAATTCTGTTGGAACCAGGTTGGATGCTATCGCCAGTACGTTTGCATATTGAAATGAGAACGCAAGCTCTTGGCAGAAGGATATGTTCGTTTGGTTTTTGTTGAAGCGTTCGGTTGATCATTTTGGCGGCGCCTTGTGGTTGGTGGTCATTGATTTTCCATACAGGCACACGGAAGTCCTTTTGCTTGGTGGCTTGAAAAAGTCCATTTTCGATGGCTGTAAATGTTTCATTAATCTATTTACATGTTTTTTTCACTAGATGGCTGCAAGCTTACTTCATAATGATGTGGCTTAGGATCGGGATTTTGTTTTGTCCGTGCTGGTGTTGGTGCTGGATCAGAGTTTTGTTTGGCGTGCGGATGTTGGTGTTGGATCCGTTTTTGTTTGGGGTGTTGGTGCTGGCTCGGCTTTTCTTTTTTTTGGGGGGGCGTATTGGTATAGGTATTGGCGCAAGTGCTGGATCGGCGTTTGTTTGGGGCCTCATTGGTGTGGGTTTTGGTGTTGGCTCGGAGGTTGTGTTTTGAATACAATGGTGCGGTAAAAAACGGTGGATCCGTTGTTTATGCAACGTTTTTTTTTGCTTATAGTATTATTACGTTATTCCGCTTTTAGAATTTTTGTGAATTTCGGATTCGATTTCTTTTTAATGGTGTGTTATCTTTTATCGTTATTATTTGGTGCTAAAATAGATTTAATATTTGAAATATACGTGGTTAGAAGAAAATCTCTTTAGATTTTTTTTCCAAAAATTAATATTTTGAAGTTAATATTCGGATATATTAATATATTTATAGAATTATAAATATAGTTTTTTTTCTTGAATTATTATGTTTTTTTAATTCGTGGTTTTTAGGATTATGTTTTATTTTTATATTTTATATTAATGGATTTTTATTTTATTATAAATATTGGAAATATTAATTTTAAATTCGAGGGTTATATTTTAAATATCGATTATTTAATTGATACGAGGATTTTTATATATTTACTTTTAGATAGGATTAATATTTTATATATAAATTATTTATATTTTATTATTTATAATATTTGTTTTTAATGTAATTTGTTTTTTTGATATTAAATAATCGATTAATATTAATATATTCGATAAATATATGTGTTTTATATATTTAAGGAATAATTAATAATATTAATAATTCCGATATATTTATAAAGAGTATTTCCGTATTATTTCTTCGATTCGGTAAAATATATTAGTTTGTATTTGTCGTTTGGGTAATTGTTTTCGAAATAATCGATCGTTGTTTGATTGTTGATTTAATATATTGAATTTAATTTTATCGATCGATTATTTATTTGATATTTGATGGTATTTTTGCATTAATTTGGGAATATGTTATTTTGTTATAGAAATTGTTATTTATTGTTTTTTATGTTTAAGATATATTTTGATGGGCATTATTTATCCGAATATTGGTTTATTGATTTTATTGATTGGATTTATTGTTGATATTAATATAAAAAAGATTACGTAGTATTAATCGGTTTATATTAATGGTCGTTTTAAATTATTATATTAATAATTATTTTTGGATTATATTTATCGTTAAATTTGTTTATTTGCGCGAGTATTTTTTTTTTTTTTTTATGAATATATTTATATAATGATTTTTATTTACGATTTCTATTTTCGTTGAATTATATAATTTAAATATAATATGATTGAGGTCTTTTGTAATTTTAAATCCTGATTAAAGGATTATAGAATTTTCTTTTTTAAAGTAATGCTTTTAAAAATTTTAACCCTTATGTTGATTATGAATTTATCCTTATTATTATTCTTCAACGAGTATTTAAAATAGGAATTAATATTAAAAGAATGCAAAAAATTGTTATTACGATTAATGAAATGAAACGAGGATATTGATTACGTTATTAGTTGACAATGTCATAGCCTTGATCTAGCCTATGCCGATGTTTAATTCTTGTTTCCAAAATAAAAATTCCTATTAGTGTATGATGAGTGATGTATGATGAGTGGTGTTTGATGAGTGGTGTATGATGAGTGGAGTGTGATTAATGGTATATGATGAGTGGTGTTTGATGACACTGGTGTATAATGAGTGGTGTATGATGAGTGGTGAATGATGAGTGGTGGTTGAATAGTTGTTGAATAATAATTGCAGATGAGGGAGGATATGTTTTATAAGGAGGCTAGAGAAAAAATATTGGCCTGTGAAAGGATTATTGCTTTATGGATACTTTATGGGGAAGTTACGCAATCTATAAGGAATTGATAATTCCCAACGACAGACACGATGAGGTGATCCCTATGGATCTCGACAAATTGCCAAAGGCAAACAGAAAGGAAAAGGCTTCGGTAGTTGCGCTAATGTGGATTTTGGGGGCAAGAGTAAATAATACAAAGGAAAGGAAAAGGTATAGATGCTAAGGCAAGGAGCAAAGGTACGTTCCTGAAAACTTGCAAATTTTAAAGATTATTGACGGTCACAACCTCAATGACGATTCCGAGCATGACCCGAGATTGTCTCGCAACCGTCGTTCCGCAGACCTTGACTTGCCAGCTTCTGAGCCACCGGTTCCATTGAAAAATACAGCATTTCGTGCCTTCCCTATCTCTCCACAATGCATTTTGTATTCCGGCTGCCACGAAATCTGCACATGGAGGTTCCCAAAGTGCTGTGCCTGCCAGGAAATCTGCACCTGGAGGTGCACAAAGTACTGCACCTGCCATGAAATCGACATATGACGGTTCCCAAAATGCTGCACCTGCCACGAAAGATGCTAAGGCAAGGGACAAAGGTGTGTTCAGAAACACTTACAAATTTAAAGACTTTTTAATAGGCATTGATGGTCACAACCTCAGTGGGAGATAGTATAAGTGTTGCTTAGGTGTCAATTTCGAATTTACAAACTCGAAGAATGTTAAAAGGGTCGAGACACTGATTTTCGATGCTAGGACAATGCTGTTGTATATGCTTAAAATAATGCGATTGAGACCTACGACCTTATTTGGCAGTCAGATGGTGACCATCTCTGCCTTGTCCAGTGATGGACTGCTAGCACCAAGGCTGGTGTGGAAAGTCATCAAGCTCATGGATTTGTTTTCGCTTTCGAAGGCATCCTTAGCACTAACTTGCTTTCTTCTGCTCCTTTATCAGCCTTCATTGTCTCCTCCTCCCCCCAATAGATTCTGTCTGCAAGGTTGTTGCCAAACGAGCCTTGGATAACTGCATTTCCTCCCCCCTTCCCTCAAGAACCGCAAATCATCTCCTAGGCTCATCACTCCCAATGCCATGATATCATCCAGCGTTTGAAGAAAGAAACTGATTGTCTTCATTTCTTCAGCTTCCCACTCTTCAAATTCATCTTCGTCCTCTCCACGAATTCCCAGAGATTTCACTTCCAAATGACCATGACCATTGTGGGAAGGAATCGTCCTTGTAAAACGTCGTATTTTGGGGCTTTTCTATCATTTACAAAATGCCATCCTGCAAGACTTCAGCAACCCTTGGAATTCAAGACAAAGGTTGTAATCATCCTCAAGCTCGATCATCTTCCCTCGTCGAGCATCTTTCAAATAGGTTTCCTGCTCAACTATAGGATTCCGACCCTCCACCATTAACCAAATCCTCAAAATCCAATTTGTTCACTAGATCCTTAAACATGATGCAATCTTCATCATTGTCGCTGTACGCTTGAAGTAGAGGCAAAAGAAAAAATCTCTGTCATCTCCATGGACTTCTGTTTCAGTCGAGGGGATGATGAGGTGGAAATCCAAGTGCAAAGATCGTGCACCTACCTTGATGCTCTCAAATAATCATTCTCTCCGTTTCTATTGTGTATGCAGAGACTGTAGTCAAATTCTGGCGGTCTACCCGATCGGTTCCATATTGCTTAATCTGGCCACAACAACAAAATACATAAACTTTTTGAACGTTTTCACGGAAAATTGTGGCCAATCCAATCAATTGATGATACAGCCGACACATTCCTTTCAAAGAATACCGTTATGCCTCCTTTCCAAGGGGCAGGGATTTTGCTGGAATGCCTCATGGTATTCTTGAGAATCCCAAATTATTTCATACACCACTCATCATGGATGACTGATCACACATCACACACCAGTCATCACACACCGCTTATACATCGGCTCTGGTTTTAGCAGAATGCCCGAGCATGATCCGAGCAATCAGCAGACCTTGACCAGGAGCCACCGGTTCCATTGAAAAATGCAGCATTTCGTGCCTCCGCTATCTCTCCACAACGCTTGTTGTATTGCGCCTGCAGCGCAACCTGCACATGGAGGTTCCCAAACTGCTGTGCCTGCCAGGAATTCTGCACATGGAGGTTCACAAAGTGCTGCACCTGCCACGAAATCTGCAGTTCAATATGCAAGTGAAAACTCTAATCGCAATGGATGGACGATTCCGAGCAAGATCCCAGCATGACCCGAGACCATCCCGCAACCGTCGTTCCGTAGACCTTGACTTGCCAGCTTCGGAGCCACCGGTTCCATTGAAAAATACAGCATTTCGTGCCTTCCCTATGTCTCCACAACGCATTTTGTATTTCGGCTGCCACGAAATCTGCACATGGGGGTTCCCAAAGTGCTGTGCCTGCCAAGAAATCTGCACCTGGAGTACCATCTGACTGCCAAATACGCTTGAAGCAGAGGCAAAAGAAAAATCTCTGTCATCTCCATGGACTTCGATGAGGTGCAAAGATCGTGCACCTACCTTTTCTTTGTGCTCTCAAATGATCATTCTGTCCTTTTCCTATCATGTATGCAGAGACTGTGGTAAAATTCTG